GAGAAACGCCGGTGAAGACTCCCTCCTCAAAGAGAGCCCTCGGAGAGCAAGCATACGCAGTGACAAACGCTCGCAATGCGGGCAGTCAGCTGACTCTGCAGGGTTTTGCTCCCAAGCAGACAACACACAAACTGTGTGTATCCCCACCCGAAATGTAGTGCGGGTAGGGAAGAACACACAGCCTAATATACTGCCAGCTCTCGCTGTATGTTTGTCTACACTCGTATTGGTAAAATAAAGAATGATAATGGACAGACAACACCAAATAAGACTGACACACACAAGAGCGCTTGCTGAATGACAGAAAGCTGACGCCGTTTTCACCGCACGTGCTTTTATACTTCTTGGTCGCTACGTCACCCCGCCCGTGACGTCTCGCCCATCCATTGGACTGATTACACATGTGATTCAGAGCGTGGTCACGCTGGAGGCATTCCCGTAGCATTTCGACGCAGCTCGAGTTCCTGAAGGGGAATCTAGTCCATAGTCACAGTTGCTTTTTACATAGTTACATAATTATTATCTCTATCTCTAATTTGAATACAATGTTTTTACATGAAGTACTACGGTTTTAGGGCAGGCACACAGACCCCAATTCTCCAAACTTGTGAAACCTTGTTCAAACTTCAAACCCCTTAAAGCCCTCAGGGCTCCACATGCATCCCTTACAGTTCAGCCATGTGTGTCCAAGCCTTCCTGAGCACATCCAAACAGGGAGAATTCCACTAGATCCCAATCTCTTCACCACAATGTGGGGAGACCACATTCTTCAGCCACTTCCTTCATATTAAAAAAGGACTTCCCAATATGAACTGCAGGTTATATACTCCACACCGCAACTCTTAACCATCCTCATGTTTCACTGGGAAACCAGGGGAGGTTTGTCAATATGTCCACACCTGTTGAATGTAAAGGCATTTTCAGCCTACAATTCATGTCAAATGAAAGAACTTAAAGAGTAAACATCTGAAGAGAGAAAATTAAATGGCTCTACTCATAAAACTCAATCAAAAACTTGATAAGGGTTAGTATCAAATCTGCACTAAAAAGAGCTAATAGACAAACAACTACTTAAAATATGAATAAAATCAACCCAAATTGCACGTCTTCCATAATACCCAGATTAACTGCACATTGATCACTGATCTAATAAATTCACACTGCCCCCTGCTGGGTGTATGAAAACATCTGGCTGGTTAAATTACTCATTTATTACCTTTAAATCGTTCAACTCCTCTTCCACAGGAGGGCTAGCGTAGTAGTAAACCTTCTCTCATCATAATTGGCGTTAGCTGGAACCCCTCACTCTGCACCCAGGTCATGTAGCCAGTATCAAATGAGCTTTTAAATAGCGGAGTCTCCACTCGATGACCTCAGGTCCTAAGGGACGCAGCCTCGTGGCCCCGAGCCTCATGCTCCCCCTCTCACCCCCCACACAAGAGAATAGGACAACCCAAACAAACCCTGATATCTCAATGATTTCACTGCGAGAGCGGTCCCTCTCAAAAGTGTACAGAAGGGGAAGGCATACAGGAAGGCGAATGTTTACGTGAAACTGTTTTAATTAAATTCAGGCGGTGCTGTTATTTTCTTTATAAACTTAGAGCCTGTGATTTTGAAAAGCAAAAAAGATGGCTACTCATTTAATCTCCCAACTAGTTTTTTTTTTTTAAACATCTTAAAATGTCATATACAACAAGTCAAAATAAACAAGTTAAAGCCATTATTTAGATTTTTTAAAAATAATAAAATAAAGATCCATTTATACATGTTTTTATATTTAAATATATACATTTAATATATATTTATTTATAAAATAAGTATATATAAATATATTTATTTCTCTTTCTGCACAAAATCTAACCTGAATAAGTCTGCTAGAGGTCCACAACTCCAAACATTAGCGTCCAAAACATCAAAGCTGCATTCATATCAGATCAGCGCGAGGATTCAGCCAGTGACTCGAAAGCTATGACAACATTATCTACATCAATCATTTAACACTGAAAATCTGTGGAGCAACCAAACAAATTATAATGGTTGGAGCATAACAGCCCTCAATGGCAAGTGATGAAAGCCAACATGAGATCACACTGAATCCCATTCAAGCTGAACTTAAAGGAGAGTAAGAGACACGGCTTCAACGAAGGGGTCATTTGGAGGTCCATAGCAAAAGACTGTTCCAAACAAAACATAAACATGCATCCTAATGGACGCTGGGCCGACATCTCCCAGTGCAGAACCTGGCCAACCAGAACTAATCTATCCCTCAGCTGTGGAGTTTAATCTAAACAAACAGATCTCAATGTTACTGCATCTGGAAGCTGTCATGTGCTTCGACATGGGAACAGCTGAGGTGTGAGTGAGTGTGTGTCCAGCAACCAACTGTCATAATTCATCTGCAAACCTCCTGCACTTCTTGCAAAGGAAATGTGGGAGCCAGGATAAAACTGCAGAAAGGATAAAGCTCTGGTTTAGCAAAGTGTTTGTGATAAGGTTCACACAAAAATGACTATACTGTTATACTGAGAATATTACTAAAGATTTGTGACATTCCACACACCACAAAATATTTAGCATTAATGCAAACACTTTTCTCTCAAGGGGCAAACTGAGGTTTAAGCATCTAGGCTACTACTGCAAAAGGGTTCCAAGATGAGTCTCATGTAGGGTTGACCAAAAAAATTTCAGAGATCCTGCACCTGCTCCATTACCATAGTAGCCTTGAGCAATCACTTGCTGCTCCAGGGGAGACTTCAACTACAATAGTGTAATTTAAGTTGCACTGGATGAAAAAGTATCTGCTCAAGGGCAAATTAGTAAAGTTTAAAAAAGAAAATAAAAAAAGAGGTCAATGAGATCATAAAGCCAATAAAATTATTCCCTTCTCTGAACAAATTGCAGAAATGCAGCTTTTAAAAATAATCTAAATTTAATTCCTTAAATGAGCACGAACATAAAAATACCTAAAATACTTTTTTATAATTTACAAAGTAGTATATCAATATATATACTTAAATATCCTATAATATGCACACCATATGCATATATACTTTCAAAATTCAATATTTTTCTCAAAAATTACGGCCACTCACTCAGCCCAGTCTCACAAATGCCTAGGCTATAGTATATACCTCAGACACAAAATTAAAAAAGCCAACTACAAGGAGCAAATGTGGAGTCATGAATATTTATTTGCTATTTTTAGTTATAATTTAAAGTTAAGAAGTGTCAAACAGACTTAGTGTTGCAAATCAAAAGGTTGTGTTTCATTAAGAACAACACATTTTCTTTATGTGCCTAATCAAAGGCATTTTCTCCAAGGGAGGCAGTGCCTCCTCCTCAAAAAAAAAGAAAAAGAAAGAAAAAGAAAGAAAACTGAGGAGAAAATAATTTATTTAACAGTATAAGAACAATATAAAAGACATTTAAGTGATCGTTTAGTGTAAAAATCACTCATTTTTCTAAGGTAATATTGTTTAATGGGTGCTAACTAAAACAATACTGGGAAAAGTCACATGACAGGACATATCTTTTAATGATATGTTCAATTATTGTTGACAATCTGTCAATTATAATGACATTATCATTACAACGGCCACCTATCATGCTCGAAAAAGGTTAGCAAATAGGACAGAATAGGTCAAAATGGTGTGAATTTATAAACCAGTTATGGAATAAAACGGCTCACCCACTCAAAAACATCACTATTTTCGACTTGAAACAATGATCTACAGCTAAATAAGAGCTAAAAAAAAGGTAAAGTATGTTTATATAAATACACAAATATTACAGTGCTAGTTGCCTGTTTATAGTGTAAGGTAAACAGTGTTTCATGTTTACACAGTTTTTGGTTTAAAGGTACATCATGTAGAAATATAACATGAATTTATATAGGACTAAAAAAACAAAATGCAGAGAGGCGACTGACTCCATTTCATAAATCTACCACACACCACTGACTTCATTATCAGTAATGGATTAACATAATTTACAGTCCAAAACACCCTGAAAGCCAACTCATCCAATTAAAATAACTTCATATAAAAATAATGACTGTAAAATCAACTAAAACGAAAGCCCTCATATCATATAGTCTTACCAAAGGTTCTTTAGACTTCAGGAATGCAGATCAAAGAACGGCCTTTTTTCCCCTCCCTCCTTCAAAAAATCACCACCCACACTATGGCCCCAACATCTCACAATTGAATTATTAATAAAATAAAACAACTTTCTTTCACACGTTCATCACACTGCCTATGCGCTGTAGTCTGTGTCGGGTCTGGGTGCACGTTTCTGCCTGCAGTTCGCTCGGTTCCTGAAGAAACTCTGAGACAAATCTTTTTGGAAAGTTGAACGCTGTCCAAAACAGGACCACACACAGGCTCTGTGAGCAGCACGGATCAGATTCAACTGCTGGAGGCACACACACACACACACACACACACACACACTTACTCGCACACACACAAAATGGCGGCTATTCGTGTTAAAAACAATCATATATCCACTGATGTATGGAATTTAGAAGCAATCGGCGGACGCGCGCGCTATAATGTTCCATAAACAGATATGGAACTCTGGTGCTTCTTGCGCGCGAGGCAAATTCGAAGAGAGAAACATTCTTTTCACGTTTAATCTGGATTTCTGCCAGATTTCTATACAATAAACAATTCCTTCAGCTTACATGACAGACCCCCTCCCCACCCACCGCTTCAGGTCTGCCTTTAGATTAACGTTACACTTGCGGGGGGAAAGAATTAGAAAGGCTTAAAGTACAAGGAAAATAGCTTCTTACCTTCTACCCAGAGTTTCTCCACGTCCGTCTCCAGATTAGCTGCCCTCAAGCCAACAGCAAAAGCTCCGAATATTAAAAGGCCCACAACTAAAAACTTTCCACAGTTCTTTTGTATGTAACAGCCAAGTTTAAACAAAAGTCTTTGAAACTTTGCTCTCAACCACAGTGGCGCTTTCCTCCCAGTCGCCTTCCCCTACAAGACAAGAGAGCAAATATTAAACTCTCACCACCTTGTTAAAAAGATTAAACTAAATTCCATCATTGCATAGTCGACTTTCGACTGAACTGCAGAAAACAAGCTAAAATGGCACTTAGGGGGCTTAAATAACTGTATTATCAGGAATAAACTACTTTCTTCCTTTGAAAGTAATTGCTTTAAATGTATTAAACAACTAGAGTTGTATACAATATCACCCATAAAGTCTTAATTAAAAGTAGCCTCTCGACACGTTCAAGCACTATTTCTGTGGCAAGCCATTTTAACATTTATTCCTCAGAAATGTTTCTTTTTATAAATTCTTAATTTTAATTACTAATATGTAATCCAATCATGACTAGTATCTTTTTAATTGCCACTAGTAATAACTGTTTTTTAGATACTAGTAGAACTGAGACTTAGTCCTTTGCAACTAGTCGCTATCCCAATAGTGACAAGTAGGCTAACTATTCTGTTGTGTCGTGGCAAATTTGAATTCTCTAACTACAGACAAGCATCTATTCCAGTATTACTTGTAACTATTCATTAGGAGCAAGTACTTATTCTTTAGTTACAAATATCTATTCCAGTTTTTCTAGTACTAATTAAACAAACGCTAATACCTATTCATTAGACACACGTGTGTATTCAAGTTGATACTAGAATGATTCCTAATCTTACCAGTAAGATTTTAAATTAAATACAATGTAGATGTTATGACTGGTAATAACATATGACTAGTAAAAAAAAAGCCATAACTAGTCTTATAATGTTACAAGAATTACATAGATTCAGGTCTTATAAATACGTGATAGAAAAGCTAGCACATGTACTAGATAAAAATTAATTGTCATATCTGAACCACAGATTCTCAAAGAATTCAATGGCAAATGCCACCAATAACAGTTGAATAGTTATTTGTCACTATTGGGATTGTGACTAGTAGCAAAACAATGAGGCCTATTAACTAACAAATGGTTATTACTAATGAAACTGAAAAATAATTACTTCTTAGTAAAGCAATTACTAGTAACAAAAATAAATACCTTAATTCCAGTGAATAAATGTTAAAACAGCTTGCCATACTAATTGTACCATTCTCTCAGTACAATTCAAATGAATTCTAGTTCCACGAATAACTAAAAGTTAATCTGAGTCTTGCTGCAGTGTGACAGGTTGCATCCTTTGGACACTGTATCAGGGAAACAGGTTACAATGTCCAAAGTCATGCAATATCGGAGATGCACGTGGGTCGCATAGCTGAAGGGACGCGTTGTGATGCGAGGGAGTTACGACAATATTTGTGAACTGAAGAGGGCAGCCACATGGATCGAGCCTGATCAGTGCGGGGTGAAAACTACTCCCCGTGTAGATCATATCTGAGGGGGCTTCAATCAGTCGGTAAGGGCCAACATCACTAACACTTTAGACCCTTCGCTTCACGTTCAGAGCTCAGCTTCTCGTCTGACAGTTATGTTTACGATTACTGAATCGCGACAAATGGACACAACGGAGAACAAATGCAGCGAATCCCTCGAGCGGCTACAGGTTGCTTCCCGCATAGACACCCCCATCGGTGCCGTGGCTATCCCGTTACCTAGCGACTAAACTAAAGTTGAGCACTTTGTCAGAGCATTCCCAACAAAGTCCAAATGCAAACGGGGCAAACATAAAAGCACCTCTGATATCTGCTCCAATGCAAAGGCGGCATCGCAATAGCTCGGCCGCTGCAAATACTCCAAATCCGCCGCGGCGGTCCGATAGTTGCCCCTATTTCTCCGCGTTAACCTCGGCCGATCGGGGTCTCTGTTTTCCTGCTCGGAGGACACATTAACAGCCGAGGCCATGTTGCAAAGTCTGCGCCGAACGTCTCGTTATCCGCGCTAGTGTATTTCCCCGCGAGCGTTTAGTGATATCCGAAGAAAACCAAGTTTGTCTCTCGTTGATCCCAGATCCGCGAAGCACTTCATACTCCTGTTTGAGACGGCGAGTCAGAGTCTGCGCCTTCCATTCCAACATTTCGCGAATCTGGAGGTCTCCAACAATTCCCCACTTTCACGCCGTCCGCTGGAAAGTCCGTGATATCAGAAGGCGAAGTGGATGCTGTGGAAACGTAGATCTCTCGGTGGCTGAAGCATTCTGTGATCTATGTGGTCCCTCCTGAGGCCGCGCGACTAGGCGATCTCTGAGCGATTCAATAGATGTGAAAAAAGATCACTCTCCATTCGGAGACAGAGGAGGGGCGTGGCAAAACCACTCGAAATCCTGCCTCCGGGGCTGTCAGATGGCCGGGGTTCCTGGGCTCTGATTGGTTCCAGAAGGGCAAAAATTACTCAGCAAACACGACTATTATTAGCTGCTTAGCAACAGCTCACCAAAGTAGAGAGACCACCCAAGCCGCGAGCCCTCGTGTGTGCATCTCAAACTTCAGAAGAGTCTTAAAGAAGCAAAGCCCACTTTCTGCAGAGTCCGAGCGCGTGAAGAAAACCCCAAGAGCAGAAAAGCACAGACGAGCCGCTTTCTGGTGAAGAGGCAACAGAACGCTTGTGCCTTTTCTTTCTTTCTTTCTTTCTTTCTTTCTTATTATTTATTTATTTGCTTTCTCTTCTGGTTTGTTTCTTTGCTTTTTGTTAATTTTCTTTCCTTCTCTTTCTTTCTTTCTTTCTTTCTTTCTTTCTTTCTTTCTTTCTGTTTGTTTCATATTGTCTTTCCGTCTTCCTTTTTTCGTTCTTGTTTCTTTCTTACATTTTTTGTGAATATTTCTATTGTTTTTCTTTCTTGTTTTCTTATAGTTTCATTTGGCTATTTTTCTTTTTATGCTTTCTTTCTTGCTTTCTTTTTTCCACCAAAACATATTCAGAAAATAATTCTTTGATTTTGCAAGAAGTTGTGGCCATACTTAGCAAAGCAATTGTATATCTAATTTAAGTTGTTAATTTCCTGAACACAAGTTAGTCCTGATTAGTTTCTTTCTTTCTTTCTTTCTTTCTTTCTTTCTTTCTTTCTGTCTGTTTCATATTGTCTTTCCGTCTTCCTTTTTTCGTTCTTGTTTCTTTCTTACATTTTTTGTGAATATTTCTATTGTTTTTCTTTCTTGTTTTCTTATAGTTTCATTTGGCTATTTTTCTTTTTATGCTTTCTTTCTTGCTTTCTTTTTTCCACCAAAACATATTCAGAAAATAATTCTTTGATTTTGCAAGAAGTTGTGGCCATACTTAGCAAAGCAATTGTATATCTAATTTAAGTTGTTAATTTCCTGAACACAAGTTAGTCCTGATTAGTTTTAAGCAGTAGAGCCAGTTTTAGAATTTTGCTTTCATAAACATGAATAGAGCGCCACCTAGATTACATAATTTGTGGATGGTTAATATCAATTTTAAACCTACAGTTTTTATATAGATGTGGTTATGTGTAATAATACATACTTGTTTTCATACAGCAAACATACATTTTACATTTGTCAGACTCTGTTATTCAAAGCAATCAACATTGCATTGAAGATATACCCTAATTTGATCAGTTCATGCATTCCCTGGCAATCAAACCCACGACCTTGGTGATGCTCTACTGTCTGAGCTACAAGAATGCAAAATACATGAAACATGATTACAATCAATTACATATTCACATCCCGTGCCAAATTATAGACAAGGACTGTAAGCAATTGTGTACTTTACTTGTATTGCCTTCCCTTTCCCAGTCCCAGCTGGGCAGTTTGAATATTGGCCATACTGAGAACACTAGCTCCTGGCTACAGGGCAAAGGGAAAATGCAATTAATGAGAGTTGTCTTTTACAGTGCACAGGTGGGCTACAGTTTGAACAAGTCTGTGCCAAAACATGGGAATTCCTTGTCTTGCTGCCCCTTTTTCATCAAGTGTATTGTGTAAACATGACACAGGTTTTATACTATGTATATCACACATCCAAAAAAAAGTTTATGACTACTGAGAATGAAAAATCTGTCTCGTACCAAGCCGCAATGCTGCTCTGCAATACATCATGATTAGTTTTCCTTTGCATTACTGAATCTCTTATAAACACAAAGCACATTATTTAACACAAAATAATACAAATATAAGCAGCTATATAGCGCTATATAAACACTGAATGATGATTGGAGTGGTGATGTCATCAGTTTAGGAGACTATGGGAGGAAAGCCTTGACATTAGTATGAAAATGAGATATGAAGAATCCATTTCCTATCCCACCCCACCATCAGGAAATTATTACAGCCATATTATTTTCCTCCAGAAAGAAAAAAAAAACTGGACCATTAGTCATTAACTTCCTCTGCTGGATTTTCTGAGCTATATGATTTGTCCTGAGCGCTATGTTTCACTCAATCTCTCCCAACAGTCCTGTAGTTTGCCATGGTTCCCACTACAGCGATGTACCCATGACTTTTCCCATGTTTACTCTATAGCACAAGGTTGTGCTCAATCACACAGATGTGTTTGACAGCTCTGAGCACTTCTCTGCCAGCGTTTACACTTTCCAGTTTCCTCTGCGATTGTGTGGCTCTTGTATAATCAGTGTGACACTAAAGGAGGGCACTTCAGAAAAACTCCCTATTTACCTTTGCACAAAGGCTGGATGTTTTCAGTGGTGGAAATGTTTTGTTTTGTATTGTGTGGTTTTTTTTTTTTTTTTTTGTTTTAAATTTATATATATATATATATATATATATATATATTTTTTTTTTGGGATTTAAATGTAATAACAACAAATGTTTAGGTAACTTTTGAACAATTTCCTCAGAATTATTTTGGGGTAAACATGAATTAAAATGTCATATATCTTTTATTTGTGAAACACAAGATTTACATTTTCCCTAACGTGTTCCAAAAATTTACCTTTGATCAAGGCAAATGTGATACTGAAAGTGACAAAAAATATACAAGCCATTCAGTGAAAGAAAGAAAGAAAGAAAAATAAAGAAAATTTAAAATTAGTGTCCTGACATTCTTTTTGTTTGTAGTTTTTCTGTAAATCCCTTCAGAGCGGCTGGGTCTCCAATGCCTAGATCCTGATCTATGTTTAGCCTACTGTCTTAGTAATCATAATTTTCGGGCTTAAGTTTTGACCCTTCCCATATTTTAAAAAATTCCGAAGTATGCACACAAAAGGTCACACATGTATTAAGTAATTACACAATATATTTCTATACCTCATGAGAGGTCCTTGAAAATCTCACTTCACAGCTGTGTGATGTTTGTCCCGCTCTACAGACTCTCATCGGAAATACTGTCCATAAGGACAGAACATATAAACATGATTTGCTTCACTATTCAAATTTATTTGCATAATAATGGATGGTAAAATCTGCCAAAAGAGGACCTGACGGTTGAATAATCTTACAAAGACTGTATTAAAAGAATAGTTCACCCAAATATAATAAATTTCCAGAAAATGTACTCACCCTCTGGCCATCCAAGAAGTAGATGAGATTTGAAGAAATTTGCCATTACATCACTTGCTCACCAATGGATTCATAGCAAGAGAATGGGTGTCGTCAGAAAAAGAGTCCAAACAGCTGATAAAAACATCACAATAATTCACAAGTAATTCAAACCATCAATCAATGTCTTGTGAAGTGAAAAGCTGTGTTTGGAAGAAACAAATCCATCACTAAACTTTAAACAGTCACTTCTGGCTAAAATATCCAGTCCATAATCCATAATAATGCTTATTCCAGTGAATAATATCCCTTATTGTCCTCTCAGGTCAAAATCCACTAACACATTTGTTTAGAACTGTTTTGGACTGTGTTCGCTTGTAAATGGTGCTTGATCTGTGCATATTTTTCTCCTGATTCAGACGAGATGACTTTTTCACTGGAGAAAGCAATATGATGGATAGAGGACTCAAATTTCAGACAGAAGTTAAAATGTCTTAGTAATGAATTTTGGTTGTTACAAACAAACATCTCTCTTTATAAGGAGTGGAGTTGTGCTTTTTTTGGACTCTCATTCTGACGGCACCCATTCACTGCAGAGGATCCACTGGTGAGCAAGTGATGTAATGTTTAATTTATCCAAATCCATTCCAATGAAGAAACAAACTCTACATCTTTGATGGCCTAAAGTTGAGTACAATTTCAGCAAATATTCTTTTTTTGGTAAACTATTCCTTTAAGCTTATTATAATTGGTCAGTTCAGAGTAAAATACTTCAGGCGTTTTGCTGCAAAAAACAAAATACTCTCCAAAAACAGACTCATTTTGGAGTGAATTATATGATGACGTGACTCTCCGCAAGTACCTACAGCTTGTGCGCATCTCTGTGGCTCTGAGCCCTAAAAGACCCTCTGTTCCTTGAAGCATTTTCAGATTGGCAAATATAAAGTAAACACAGCTGGCTGTAATATATGTGAATTCATTGGCTGCATCATGATTATTTAGGCAAAAAAGTTTAACATATACAAAGCTCGGCAGCTGATTGAGGTTCTCAGAGGTGTACTGTCTTTATAAAGAAACCTTTATTTATTGAGAAATGGTGAGTGTAGACTCTGTGCGGACAGGTTTGTATTGCAGTCTCTTGAATCTCTTTCCTAACTAATTGTATTATTCTAAACTAAATCTCTCTGTCTGGACGCTGCCAATATTACATATATCTGTTTTACACATCAGCTATGCAATCTGTCACCGATGTGACATCATTTATGGTTATGTAATTAATATGCACGCCAGCACCAAAAATTTAAGACTTGCAAATTGAAAGAGAGCTGTGCGCATCATTGACATTTATGAGTATATGAGAATATGTCCTCATGTTAAATCAAATCTGATGTTTTCAGGCTCTGACTTATTATTCATCATGTTTACTATTACTTTTGACATATGACAGAGAGACATCTGTAGTCATTTACCACAGGCCATGCTTGGATTATACACTCTGGGAAAAAGCATGAGCAAAATACCACACTCCAGTCATTATTTAGATGTCATTGCTTCGAACTCTATTCCTATCCCTTCATCACACCGTTTTATAAAATGTAAAGTAGCCTACAATGCAAACCTCTCCCACTGGCTTTTCAAATGTGTGGTGTTTATACACAAAAGCTGTTTTGAGGTCCAGTCAGTGCCTGCCTTGTAGATTTACAGCCTGCTTTCGTCAGCACACAATCGCTGGTGACTCTGAGAGCCTGTTACACTGTAAAATCCAATAGTTTACCTTACTTAGATT